GCTACAAGCATTACTGCTTACTGCTGTAGCCATGGTTACCTGTTTCTGGGCCGGAGTGGGCGGGACGTCGGGCTGCGGGTTCAAGTGGTATCTCAGAGGTCGGACCTGCTCTCCGTTCCGGCTGTCTGCTCGCTCCGTCACAGGAGTCCTGGACAGAAAGCGGTTTCACTAAACAGGAAGTAGCTTCCGTGCCGCTAGCTTCACGGATGGAAACCGATCTACGAGGAGGTAACCTCCATCTTCTGATTTCTAAACACAACAAAAAACACAACAACAGCAAAGGACTAAAACAGTAAACTGGAGGCTTATCCTTAACTTCTTGATTGAACTTAAAGCTGCACAATGGCTGTCAGCACTGAGGACTTCATTACCCAGAAACCCCTCTGGCCTGATGGTGAAATTGGTCCCAGTGCAGCTTTAAGTGATTTTCCAGCAGGTGTGATCCTATCGGAGCAGTCAGAGGGGTGAAGGTTTGACGGATCCTTCTGAGCAGTCAGTATGTTACCATGACAACAGCGTACCCAGAATGCACCTCTCCCTGTCAGTTCCTACACCCATTAGATCTGTGCTGATCATCCACTCTGGTATTATTATCCTCAATAAACCCAGGAAGTGAAGTTAGAAGCGTTTTCTAGCGACATTTCTGGTCATTTCTGTTCATGCGAGCAGCTGCAGAAGCATCGTGGTCAGAACCTGCTGGGTCCACAGCAGGAGAGGAAAGCCTGAAAATAGAAAGTTAACGCCTGTTTTTTAAAACATGGCTCGACCCGCTAACAATCGGTGTTTGGCTCCCTTCCTAAAAAAATTCTATTCTATTCAGTTTATTTCTATAGCTCCAATTCACATCATGTCATCTCAGGTCACTTTATAGATCCGGATCAACCAGTCAGATTGATTCAAAGTTTTCTATCTAAGGAAAACCAGCTGATTGCATCGACTCATTGACTCTTCAGCAATCCCTCACACCCGGCTCTGTTTCTACAGAGATCAGCAGGACTCAGGTATGATCACAGACTGATCACAGACTGATCACAGACGCCATCAGTCCATCCAAGTTCAATTAGAAGACTTTCTAGAACCTTCAGGTTTTGGTGGCGGTATGTAAACATGTGACCCTCCTGGTTCTGGTGGAAACTAAACGGCTGCATGTTGGATAACCTCAAAGAGATCGGCGGCCATTTTTTGAGAGGATCCGAGAGCCGCTGAGTGGCGGTAAGATACTGACTGTTGATCCCTACTCCGCATCACTTCACCGCTCTGAGTCTACAGAACCAACCACAGACCAGAACCCAGCAGGTCCGGCAGTACCTGGGGACGGGGGCGGGTTCAAAGTCCAAACCCCACACCTCACAGTCAGTCACACTGCATTGTGGGTAAGAGAAGAGTCAGGTGTGTGTAAAGCCGTGGCCGGTAAACCGAAGCGTCTGTGTGGGCGTTACCGGGTCTGATGGCGGGCTTTATGGAACGGGCTGTTCGCTCCGAGGCAGCAGAGGCTCCGACGGCACCGAGGGAAGCGGAGGGCGAGGAAGAGGAGGACCACCGGCAGGATGAAGAAGAATATGACGAGCAGCGCCACCCGGACCGGATCGGACTCTGACGGCAGAGACGGACAGAGGTCAGAACAGAGAGGAGAGGCTGCGCTTCTGACGGCTCGCTGAGAGGAGCACCTGCTGCCGCTCCGGCCGGTCCGCTGTCCACGCTGCCGCCATGACCGGAGTACCTGCAGTCCGGCGGGGCCCAGCCCGCCTCACAGTGGCAGTTCTTATTGCTGTTACACACCTGAGGAACAAAGAACAGCGAGCGTCAGGAGGAAGGCAGCTGCAGAGCCCTGAACGCTGCGCCATCAACCCTCCTTCTTCTAACGGCGTTCTGAGGGTCTCTGGCTGCTGCTCACAGGGTCATAACAGCAATAATAGAAATAAAAGCAGAATAAAAATCAGGTGAATGGAGTTCTTTAAACTAAACAAATAAAAATTCATTAAAATATTTCATAAATCAGAACTAATGTTTGCTCCACTCCAGCACCGAACACACCGACTGATTACGACTTTTTAATCTGCGATCCGATGTTTCTCCATGTCAGACTAGAGAGGCTCGGACCAGGCAGGGTGAGCGGATCTATGCAGATTGTTATCACTTCTATCTCTGTGCTTTAAACACATTAAAAACATGTCCAACATTCGACTGGAACAGATTATTAAAGGTATTTGGTGCATTCTATAATGAATGTGCTTTACTGGAGGCATCCATGTTTGTCAAAGAACACTACTGCCACCTACTGGTTAGTGACATTGTCACGGTGCGGTATCGG